TATATGTATATGTATATGTATATGTATATGTATATGTATATGTATATCCCGGTCAGGAAACAGGCATTTCTCCTTTAAAAAGACCTCCTGAAAGCACCTCTCTCATGGGAGGCCAGCAGGTAAATAACACCAGCGCTTCCTTAAAGCTTTCTAAAGAGCCAGAAGTCCAGGCTGCGCTGCTTAGGTTTCTCCGGGAAGTAACTCAATCCAGCCTTGGCGGGCAAAGATGGGGTGTCTGAAGGTAGGAGAAGGGGATGAGGCAGTACACCTCAAACTTTGCAGGTGCTCTTTTTTTTTAAGCTCTTCTGAGCAAAAACTGAGAAAGGCCTAACCCACCTGCTCTGACTCCAGGACCGCTGGTATCCCGTTCACCCAGACCTGCCCCCTCGGGGTACTGCCCTCCCAGTGGCCCCTCACCTTGGCCTCAAAAGAGATGCCGTGCTGGAAGGCGTCCTCGTTGTGCAAAGGGATCCGTAGGTCGTGCCCATCGTCCACAAGGTTGTACTTGGTTTTGCTGGGCATGGTGACCCGCGGCAGACCCGCTGCTCCAAGGGGGCGGCGGTGGCGGCGACGAGAAAGAGCTGGCGAGACCCCGTGGAGAGAACAGTGGGGCTGGGCGAGGCGGCAGCGAGGACCTAGGTCGCGGGGTGGGCAGTCTGGGTGCCAGGCGGTGGCGGGGGGGAACCCGGAGCGGAGCCTCCGTAGGGCCGAGTGGCAGGGGCGGCGCGGATGCGGCTGGCGCGAGCAGCTCGGTGGCCGCGCTCTGACTACCGGGAAGCGGCCAGGCGGCCGGGCAGGCGGGAGCGGGCAGCGCGGAGCCCCGGACCGGGACGCCGAGCTAAGGGCGCACGGCCCGAAGCGGGGCTAGACCGGGAGCCCGATCCCGAGCTCGGCGCGCACGGCCCGGGACGAGGAAGAAAGGCAGCGGCGGCGGCGGCGGTGGCGGCGGAGCGGGGTGCCTGTCACGGAGACGCCGGATCGGCTGCCAGCCCGCGGCTCCTCCTGCGGGGCGGGCCCGGGCCGACTCCTCCTGCGCGCCAGAGCCCCGCCCGCCGCCGCCGGGTCCGCCCCAAGAGCCCCGCGCCCCGCGCTCCGCACGCGCCCAGCAGGTGAAAGTCCCCGCAGTGCCGAGCCGGGACCGGGGAACTTCGCCCTGGCCGGACCGCAGGACCGAGGCGATCCAGGCGCAGTCGGCTCAGCTAGTGGCGGCGAAACAGCATCGCCATGCATGTGTTTGTTTTGTTTTGTTTGGGGAGCCGAAGAAAAGCGATGTTTATTGGGTTTTGTTTTCCCAAGAAGGCCGAGATCTGTCCCAGCGATCCTCGATCTGGACCGCATTAATTCAGAGATCCCTGCTTCGCCTCAGAATCAAGTGGAAAGCCAAATAAGAGGGCTGCCTCCCATTGCTTTTTGTCCCTTTGGATGTGTGGCTTGCATTTGGGGGATCAGCAGGTTTTCTTTGAGAAAAATTTAAATATTTAAAAGTCGTCAGCCTTGTAGAACTGGAGTAGGCTGCACTAGGGACAAGAAATTGCAGAATGTTCTTAGGTCCTTAAAGTTTTTTAACTGGTTAGTGTTTAAAAAAAGAAAAGAAATACAAAAGAGGGAGGGAGGGAGGGAGGGAGGGAGGGAGGGAGGGAGGGAGAGAGAGAGAGAGAGAGAGAGAGAGAGAGAGAGAGAGAGAGAATGAATAGAAAAAGAAATTTTCCAAAATTCTGAGGCTTCTTTTTGATGCGCAAAGGAAGGTGTCAAAGGAGGATTTCGAGACCTGTGTCTAAACCTCAGAGATAGTGTTGTGTAACAGTTTCCTTTGAGATTGAAACATTCTGTCCAGCATCCAAAAGGGAAGGTCTTTAAGCAGGAAGGTAAACAACTCAAAGTAGTCTCAGGAAGTCCCTGAAATTGGCCAGATCCAAGAGGCCCCTCCCTGCCAGAGTAAACAATAAAATCAGAGTGTCTCAAGTAACTTGAAGCTGAGCTGCAGAAGTAGACTCTCTGAGGAGATAAGCTGCAAAGACTCAGACCAGACCTAGGAGCAGCAGAAACCAACCAAGCTGCCAGGAAGAGATTTAAATCAGAGTCGCTTGGGAAAGACACTCTAACCTGTTGAGCTGCCAGTGGGCTTCACAGTGTACTCCAGGTCTCCAGCTTTTGTGAGCTGTCACCTATTCTGGGCTGGGCCTTGATATGCAGATGTCTTTGAGTCATTTCTGGTACTGTAAGTGACCTCTCACCTATTTTCCTGTAACTCCAGTAAAATCCATTGGTTCAACCAAGTGGGACTTTGGTGGTATCCATGCTTGGTCTGCAGTGAGTTTCCTATCTGGTATGAATAGATGTTTGCTGTGTCTCCCCAGAAAAGGTTTCTCACACAACATTCACATACATAGTAGCTGTAATCTACCTCTTCACAGAGCTCAGACTCCCCAGTAGTAGCTAGACCAGCTAGTGTCAAAGCTGAAATCTCCGAGACAAAAATGATTCAACTTCTGTTGTACAAATCTGTGGTGATTGCTGATATTGTTAGAAAGAACTGCCAGCCCACAAACAGCAAACACGGCTCTGGCCGGCTGTACTCTTCTTCCTCATTCCCTCCACCTTGCTAAAAACATTAGCTTACATTCCTAAAGCTATCCACCAAGGTCTATTCCCTTATTTGGCCATTTCTTCCTCCTGAGGCTGACTGCCAGGATCCAACTATCAAAGTATTGAAGTCCAGCAATCGAAAGCCCCCTTTGACTCACCTAATTAATATGCCCAATCAAAAATAAAAAACTCATCCTAACACAGCATTTCCTCTCTTACCTTAATAAACGACATTTGCCTATATGACACATCTGTCTCCTCTCTATCCAGAGGCAGTTCTTTTCCCCCCCAAAAGAAGTATCCCTCCCCTCCCTCCCTCCCTCCCTCCCTCCC